GTTCTTGTGCCACTCAGTTGGCCTCTCAATGTCTCTTCCCCCCCCACACCCCCAGACTTCCTATGCTAGTATCTAAACGGACTTTTTATATGCCACTGGTAGATGGATGCAGCAAAGCGCTGCATATGCCAATGTTTGTTTCCATAGTAACTAATGCACTTCAGAGAAGGAGAAATAGGATAGTCAGGAAGGACAAGGGGGGGAAAGATCACAATAAAACTGGCACAGCGAGTGTAGATGCCGGATGCTTGGAATATTTTCTGACAGAGGTTTCGGCTCACAGAGCTCCCCTAAACTTGAGTGGTTTTTAGTTTTTTGGCTTCTGAGTGCCTCATTAGCCACAATCGTCATTAACCACTTATCATTATTAACCGCTCTCATCTACAAAGATTGAGCTCAGGGAACAGGGCATACCTCTAAATGTTTGAACAGTTCATAGTTATTTGTCCCAGGTTTCCTCTGTGACCTTGAAAATGGATGGTGATCATAGAGTTGTAGAGACAGAAGGGATCCTGGGGGTCATCCAGCTCAACCCACTGGTGGGCACAGACCAGGGGTAACTCAAGAGTGGTGTGAGCTGTTGTTCTGTATTGTGTGGCCCAAACTAAGGAGGCCATATGCTAATTAAATCCGGCACAGAAATGTGCCAGACAGCCCAATCCTATCCCTGCCTCTACTCAGAAGTAAGCCCCCATTGAATTCAATGGGACCTACTCCCTGCTAAATGTTTACAGGATTGCAGCCTAACCTTAACTGTTTATACTCACTTCTGAACAACCCCACTACAAATATAGTTACGCCTTCTTTGGGGGTATTGATATGATTCCCCATGTGGTTTTCATAAGTTAATGTCAGCCCCATAACTTCACCTGCTCCAGGTGAGCTCCATTGAAATAAATGGATGTCGCCTAGTAGCTGCATTTGGCTGACAGGTGATATGTGCCAATGGACTTCTGGACCCTCCTGAGGCAACAGTTCCATCTCCTGGAGCGAAATCATTAGGAAAGCATTTCTCCTTGTTTTGAAACTAATTAAACATTTGGAGTACTATTAGATGGCAGTTTTACACAGCATCAGCAACTCTGAAGAGAGAAGGTGAATGAATATTGTGGAGTAATGAACTGGGAGTTGGGGGCAGAAATAAATAAGGAATCACGTTCAGGAGACAAAGAGCTGTTTCCTCCCCAAATCCCATGAGAAATTAACTGTTTGTCGGGGTTTTCCTGTTCTTCAGAGAACCCAGAGTAAAAGAGCTCAGGCTTAAATACTGTTCTGCCTGCTTTAATACTCTGTTACTCTTATTAATTGTGTAAACATTTTTTAAAAACTATTCCCGATGGGGTGTGGATGGACAAAGATAAATGTCTGCCCAGTCCTCAGCAGGGCCTATATTTATTTGGTCTGGTGCAGAAATCACCTCACCATCTCTAACAAGGGCAACTGGCAGGGCTTTTCCCCCAGCTGGAACTTACCGTAACTCAGTTCTGGCACTTCTCAGGTGGGCGTCATTATGAAAGAACAGGGCAGGCGTTCATGATGAGTTCCGGCACCTCTTTTTCTAGAAAAATAGCACTGGCTACTGGTAACCAGGTTTACTTTTTATGGTTTGCAAACCAGCTTCTAACCTTGGTTCCAACCTTTAGTTGAAAACATAACCTTGGTTAGCTTTAGCCATGGGGAGTGTGAATGCAGAAATAAATAGGGTGTTCTTCAATTTGTGCCTTTGAACCCATGAAAGGGCTTTTGATCTGTGCAGGTGTCTACTAAGAGGAAGGGGTGCAATTTTTGGAGATTCCCCTCTGTCCCCTGAAGCCACCTTCCACCATGTTCTGAATGGTTGCCATCATCATCCCTGACCATTGGCCATGGTGGGAGTTGGGGTCTGACCACATCTGGAGGGCCACAGGTTTCAGAACAAGCCAGGATCAAACACCATGGTTTGATCCTGGCTTGTTCTCTTTTAACTGTAGTTAAAAACAAAAAACAACCATTTCCCGAGATTGGACATAATGGGCATAAAATCAGAAGGGGAAGCTTTTGATCTCTTAACCAGGGCTACGGAAGAGGAAGAGGAAGGATGCAAAGACTCTCTGTAGCTCTTTCATGTAATGGGAAACTGCTTTTTTGGTTATGTTCAATGTTAGCCATCAGTTGATCTGAAGGCTGCTTAGCTGGGACAGAATAAGAAGCATGAGGGATAAAGCCAGAGCAGCAAAATCTTTAAAAACTACAGCTCCTTCCTTCCTTGTCACATCTGTAATTGTGAAGTTCTAAGATAAGGCACATTTTTGTGTGTATTTTAGAAAAAGGCTATAATATGCACCTCTTTGCACTGCCTGGACAGCACATTCCCTGCAGTGATACTGCATACCGCTCTGTCATCCCAATTTACCTTCACAGCCCAACGGGATAATCCCCCTTTTGTTTTGCCGAACAGCATGAAGGCAAAATATTGGAGAGTTCTCAATGAAGCCATTGTTGGTTTCTCTGAATGGCATAGTGCAAACATACAAATCATAGAGACAGGAAGGGGGCATCTTTCTGAATAAAGACACTGTGCCTCACCTTGCTTGGGAGAGACCGTAAAAGGGATCCCCCGTACCAGAAGGTGAGTATTGGACTAGTTGGGTACTCAGGTTTCTTGACATTAAAGGAACCTTTTTTGACTTTTCAACAGAACACCAAACATCAGAGAACTCGATGGCCCATTCATTAAAAAAACAAGCCCTCCTTTAGCTGCAGCTGTGTGTATATACTTACCTCCTGGGTTCCCTTCACAACCTTCCTTGAAGGGCACTTGATGCTCTTTGGAGAATGTTGCCATGCAGCCAGCGAACTGGGTGCCAAATATTCTCTCCCTCTGCCCGTGTCAGACAGAATATTGCTTCCTAGTTAAAAGCGACCCAGTGCTATGGGTGACTTCAAAGGTTAAGTTGGTTTCCTGGGTTGAAAACTTTCCCGGTATGTTCTGAGTAAACATTTCATTCCACCAAGGACACCAAGGTGCATGTTAGGTAAAACTGTATTTAATTGTAAATTGGTCCTTTTGCTACTGGAAAAGCCACTTCAGGAGGAGTCATTTGTGCCTGGGAAACTCGCCCCTCCAGTAATGTACAGTCATACCTCGGAAGTTGAACGCCTTGCGAGTTGAACGTTTTGGCTCCCGAATGGCACAAACACGGAAGTGAGTGTTCCGGTTTGCGAATGTTCTTTGGAACCCGAATGTCTGACATGGCTTCAGATTGGCTGCAGGAGCTTCCCTGCAGCCAATCAGAAGCCATGCCTTGGTTCCCGAACGTTTTGGAAGTCGAACGGACTTCTGGAGCAGATTCCGTTCAACTTCTGAGGTATGACTCTAGTGACAAATTCAGAAGTGCAGGGTCCCTTCAGGGTATCTGTAGCCAGGTCTCTCACAGCCACACTTCTTTATAATTAATAATAATTTAGGGTGCATTGCAATGATCAGTGCAGACATCCATGTGTTTCCTTTCAGCTAGACCTACCATTTTCTGTGTGGATAACATGGGCAAATAATTTGGAGTGCTCTTTCACAGTGACTTGAGCTTTTATCAAAGTCCCATTGTACGTAACAGAACTTGTACACCGTTCTCTTGAAACCTTGTGCTTTCAGTGTTCGTAAAAGCTTAGCTTTGGAGCATACAGAACACCTTATTAGGTATGATGATTCCAACCAGCACCAATTTGGACGCCTCTGAAGATCTTGTTGCCCAAGTCATACTCTGATGGTAGAGCATGAGACTTGACCACATATCACCCTCCTGGTCCCTTCCAACTGCACAAGTCTATGATTCTATGACATCCTTAAATAAGCACATAAATAACAAACCATGAGAAGGATGCCTCTGAAGATATCAGGGGAAATCCAGCCACATGGGTGGGGTATAATAAATAAATAATAATAATAAAATAATAATAATAATAATAATAATAATAATAATAATAATAATAATATTGCTGTCATAATCATCTACCTTTAGACACCAGGTAAAGGTAAAGGGAGGGGACGCGGGTGGCGCTGTGGGTAAAAGCCTCAGCGCCTAGGGCTTGCCGATCGAAAGGTCGGCGGTTCGAATCCCCGCGGCGGGGTGCGCTCCCGTTGCTTGGTCCCAGCGCCTGCCAACCTAGCAGTTCGAAAGCACCCCCGGGTGCAAGTAGATAAATAGGGACCGCTTACTAGCGGGAAGGTAAACGTGTTTCCGTGTGCGGCTCTGGCTCGCCAGATGCAGCTTCGTCACGCTGGCCACATGACACAGAAGTGTCTCCGGACAGCGCTGGCCCCCGGCCTCTTGAGTGAGATGGGCGCACAACCCTAGAGTCTGTCAAGACTGGCCCGTACGGGCAGGGGTACCTTTACCTTTAAAGGTAAAGGGACCCCTGACCATTAGGTCCAGTCATGACCGACTCTGGGGTTGCAGCGCTCATCTTGCTTTATTGGCCGAGGGAGCCGGCATACAGCTTCTGGGTCATGTGGCCAGCATGACTAAGCCGCTTCTGGCAAAACAGAGCAGTGCACGGAAACGCCGTTTACCTTCCCGCCGGAGCGGTACCTATTTATCTACTTGCACTTTGACGTGCTTTCGAACTGCTAGGTTGGCAGGAGCTGGGACCAAGCAATGGGAGCTCACCCCGTTGTGGGGATTCGAACCACCAACCTTCTGATCGGCAAGTCCTAGGCTCTGTGGTTTAACCCACAGCATCAGACACCACATCAAAATCGAGATGACAGTCCAAATAAACCATAATGAAACTTTAGACACACACATCCCATTAATCCAGAGCTGGATCAGGTGTTCTTTGGATCAGGTCAGAGCCTAAAACTATATAAAATCTGTAGTTTAAAAAAATCACAATATGTGTTGGTTTTCTATATAAAAAATCACAACATGCGCTGGTTTCCTCGGATTCTTGGGCAGCACCAGATGTTTCTTGCTGGAATATATATATATACTTACAAGTGTTTGCTCTCTTGTCTTTTGCAGGGCCCTGTCCGTATGGCTCCTGATCTTGCCGCGTCTCCTGCCGTGGGATATGTCTCCATAAACCAGAAACCTGAAGCCGTGGTGCACGCTATGAAGGTAAGGGGTGGGGTGTTTTGCATGCATTCATATAGGCTTTGCATTCTGGCCCAAGAGAGGAAGACAATGAGGAGAGGCAATCAGAGGCTCTGGGCTGAGAAATAGCAGAGCAGGTGTGCTCTTTTTATTGACATAAGAAGAGCTCTGCTAGATCAGGCCTTAAGCCCATCTAGTCCGCCACCCTGTTGCCCATGAGTGGCCAACCAGTGGCCCAGTGGCCAACCAGTTGCCCATGAGAATCCCATAAGCAGGACCTGAGAACAAGAGCCCTCTCCCCATCTGTGGTTTCCAGCAACTGGCATTCATAGAATCTTAGAGCTGGAAGGGACCAGGAGGGTCATCTAGTCCAATGCAGGAATCTCAGCTAAAGCATCCATGGCAGATGGCTGTCCAACCTCGACTTAGAAACCTCCAAGGAAGGAGAGAAACATACAGCCCGTGGCAGTACCTAGTAGCCATTGATCACCCTCTCCTTGAATTTTTTGAAGCCATCCAATTTGGTGGTCACCATTGCCTGGCTTGCAACTGATATTCAGAGGCTGACTGTCTCTGATACAAGAAGTAGCACAGCACCCAACACGGCTAGCCTCATCCTCCATGAATTTGCCTAACTCTCAATAATAATAATAATAATAATAATAATAATAATAATAAATTTATTATTTATACCCCACCCACCTGGTTGGGTTTCCCCAGCCACTTGGGCGCCTCCCAACAGAATAATAATAATAATAATAATAATAATAATAATAATAATAATAATACAGTGGTACCTCTGCTTACAGATGCAAGGGTGCCATTCGCACCTCGGAAAAGTCTAAAAGTAGAGCGCCACTTCTGCGCGTGTGTGTGACGCAATACAGCACTCCTGCGCATGCACGAAGCAGCGAACCCGGAAGTACAGTGGTACCTCGGGCTAAGAACGTAATTCGTTCTGGAGGTCCATTCTTAACCTTAAACTGTTCTTAACCTGAGGTACCACTTTACCTAATGGGGCCTCCCACTGCCGCTGCGCCGCCGCTGCATAATTTCTGTTCTCATCCTGAAGCAAAATTCTTAACCCGAGGTACTATTTCTGGGTTAGCGGTGTCTGTAACCTGAGGTACCACTGTAAACACTTCCAGGTTTGCCGCATTCGTAACCAGAAAAAATGCAACATGAAGCAAATGCAACTTGAGGTATGACTGTAATAATAAAGCAATAAAACATTAGACATTAAAAACTTCCCTAAACAGGGCTGCCTTCAGATGTCTTCTAAAATTCAGATAGTTGTTTATTTCCTTGACATCTGATGAGAGGGCATTCCACAGAGGCGGCGCCACTCCCGAGAAGGCCCTCTGCCTGGTTCCCTGTAACCTCACTTCTTGCAGGGAGGGGACTGCCAGAAGGCGCTCGGAGCTGGACCTCAGTGTCTGGGCAGAACGATGGGGGTGGAGACTGCACCTTCAGGTATACTGGGCCGAGGCCATTTAGGGCTTTAAAGGTCAGGACCAACACTTTGAATTGTGCTCGGAAACGTACTGGGAGCCAATGTTGATCTCTCAGGACTGGTGTTATATGGTCTCGGCAGCCGCTCCCAGTCGCCAGTCTAGCTGCCTCATTAGTTGTAGTTTCCGGGTCACCTTCAAAGGTAGCCCCACATAGAGCACATTGCAGTAGTCCAGTGCTACATTTTAAAGCCATTGCTACATCTTGGGGCAGCAAATTCTCCAGATTACCTCTGCCTCGTGTGAAGAAGTTCTTTCTTTTGTCTGTTAAGAGTTCACACGCATGAGCTTAGGCTACTCCCTCACGAGGCAGCAGAAGGAGCATGACAACATCGGATAGGAATAGCCGAAGCTTCTCTGACTAGGCCCCGTGTTCCTCAGACCAGTGTTGACACTGGTGTTCCCCACAGGAAATGGAAACCTCCAGCGCTGCCATGAGGAATTCTGGGACAGAGGAGAGTCAGAAGTCTGTTTTCTATGCTGAACGCAACAAAAGTGATCGCAAACCAAATCCTCCACTTTGCCGTAGCCACGTACGCACAGACTAAATGTCACATCGCTGTATCTGTATCGTCCCCAGAGACCATTGTTTTCATTATCCACGAGTTTCAGTGCTGCGCAAAGCACTCTTAATGTACCAGACCCGAGGGCACTTAGATAATCTTCCAGGTTGCGATGCTGTGCATAGATACCAAGGAAAGGGGGTGGGGAGAGAGAAAGCTTGCTCAGCTGGCAGAATCAGCTTGTATTTCTGGGTCCAGAAATCTATTTTTAACAGAACAGACTACGAACGCTGCATTTCATCAGGGCGCATTGACAGAGAAAACTGCCGAGCATCTTCCAGTGGCGCAGCTGTTGGAGGCCCAGATCCCCTAAAGCGCAGCCTTTCCAAGGGTTGCCACCTTATAGTCACGGCCCTGCTCCTCTGCTACTAGCAGCCTGAGATGCAGGAATTGAGCAGATGAGTTGTTTTCCGTTGTTTCCTTCGCGGGTCTTTGATAAGCTTCACCTTAATTTCTGTCTGTCAGGCTTCTGTCGAAGGCAGAGGGCAAGCTCAGAGAGGAAAGGTGGCAACGCTAGGAGAAAATTGCCTGTTGAGTGTTGCAACCTTTTCCTCCTGCCAGCGGCTTTGTGTTTTTCTACATTTGTATGATTTGGACTCGTTCACCTCTTGGGGCGGGGGGAATTATCAAACAGCTTATAAAATCCATTAATAATAATATTGCTGGGCATATGTTCAACAGGAGCAGTTTCCTGCATCCATGCATCTTCATGCAATACAATGCAAGCAGATATGAGGTTTTTTCCTTGCCACAAATCCCTGTAGTTAACATTTTACACTGGGGGAAGCGATATGAGGATGCAATATAGGGTCAGGTTACTGAAGGGTTTCATGCAGGCAATAAAACCTAATGGAGAGTCTCAGCCTGGAGTACATACATGTGGCCGTGTGCATTTATTCAGCTACCGGCATGATATTTCTGGGGCTGGGATGTGATTATCCAGGCTGATGAGTATCGCAGGCGTGCCCAGACCAACGAGTCGGTTTCGCAGCCTGCATCCAGCTTGATCAATAATTAATTCCTTCCTATTCATTAGAGATCTATTTTTATTTGCAAGCTTGTAAATGCCGCTTGCTTGCTTCCTCTGGTGTTCCTGCGCCCCCTTGCAAAAAAGAGAGGAGCCAACGGATTAAATTAATTTAAGCAAAACCGTACAGTCATGCAAAATTGCCATTGGTTCAAAATATGTCGGTTAAGCTAGTGGATAATGCAATTTCCAAAGTAGGTTAAGGGCCCTAAGAGAATGACCTATTTTTGTAACTGAGACTTCTGAGGCACGGCAGGAAAAGGAAGCATTGGTCCAGTTCAAAGCGGTCAGTGTGCAAAGCGCAGTGCCACCCGCTAGAAAGCTGAGCGGAGCATTTGTGCCTGGTTTTACAGAGTGTTGTGTTCATCTGAATTGAAACAACCCACATTCGTTGTGGTGTTAACCATAATTCTGTCATCGAGTTGGGGGGGAGGAGGTGGAAGCTTGATTCTTCAATCGGAATTACGATGTGGGTGATTATGATGCTCGTGTCACAGCACTCTCAGGAATGTCCAGCGTGAGGAATTAACTCTTTCTTGTCAAAAGCACACTTGCAAGTTAGGAAAGGTCTTGCGTCTCTCAGGTGTGTACCCAATGAGGCAGTTGCGGCAACAGGGAGGGCCCCCCCAGCTCAGCTTATGTATCTCCCCCACCTGAGCAGGCAGAGACAATGTCTGTGTGCAACTTGCTTCAATCTTCTTCTGGTCCTGGGAGACAGTGGAGCAGGAGAGGTGGGGGCAGGAGAAAGAGGTGTGGCAGCCCCAGACTCTACACCAGCCTGACCTTTCCCTCCCTCCTCCTGCACCTTCTCTTGACTCTCCAATCCTGCAGCTTCTCCTGCCTCCGACTCTCATCTCCTGGCTGCTACAGGCTACCACACATCCCTTCTTCCCAGTCAGTCTCCAGCCCACCTTCTCCCAGTGCCCATGCATCCAACCACCACTCCTCAGGGTCCAGCCAGTCCCTGACAGCTAGACATGAATGGTCATGAGGGTAGTCATGTGTCTCCTGCTTTGCAGAGGACCATCCTCTGTCTGAAAGGAGTCCTCTGTCCAGTCCAGGCTTTCTTTATATTAAAGAACTCCAAGAAGGGAGAGCAGGGGCCTTGAAGTTGCCCATATCCATACCTGGAAAGCAGACTGAGCAGGTACACACAGTCACCTGGTCTTTCCCATAGCGGCGAGATGTATTTCTGTTTAAAATATAGTAATGATTTATCCGTTTGTGTCTGTACAGTTTAATCAGCATCACCTTCTGCAAATCTGTATACATTTGTACCTTGGAGATCGAATGGAATCTGTTCCGGAAGTCCGTTCGACTTCCGAAAAGATCGGAAACCAAGGCGCGGCTTCTGATTGGCTGCAGGAAGCTCCTGCAGCCAATCGGAAGCTGTGGCGGACGTTCGGGTTCCAAAGAACATTCGCAAACCGGAACACTCACATCTGGGTTTGCGGCGTTTGGGAGCCAAAACGTTCGACTTGCAAGGCATTTGGGATCCAAGGTACGATTGTACTCTTTTGTCTGCTCTTTGGCAGGTGATGCATAAGTGGCCGCTCTGCTTTATGCAGAGCCGCACTGTCCATCTTTGTAGCTCAGCATTGTCCAACTGACTGGCTCAGGTTTAGGGCGGGAGTCTTTCCCTGGAGAAGTCAGGGATTGAACCTGGAACCTTTTGCATGCATAGCATCTACCACTGAAGCTCCAGTCCTTCCTTAACCGCTTATGGACCACTCTTCCTTTACTGTCTTCTGTACCTAACCATGACGGCAGAAGTTTGTCTCTTTTCACCATACCTTGGCACGATTTTGGAGCAGGAGATCTGAGTCAGATCACAGCTTTTTCCAGCTTTGTTGCCTTGCACCTGATGCTCTTTTGTGTCAGGAACTGCACAATTCAATGGCAATATGGGCAGCATCCAGTGACCATTTGCAAAAAGTGTGTATGCATATGCTGAAAGTAGATCACATGTTCTTCCCCCCCCTTTTAACCATTCATTTCCAGCTTATTGATGTATGCAGATGGAACATTTATCTCAAGCTCCATGTTTTACTGGCAATTAGACTCCCCACTCTCCTATGCGTGTGTTGAGATTTTGGCCTGTTTGCCCTCCCAACGTGGAGACAGCATGAAGATGGAGTGGTCATTCCACTTAGGGGTACCTTAGGGTCTATCACTGTGTGACATCATTTTACAATTTCATGTCCATTGTGTTTGTAGGTCCTTGAAGTCCATGAGAATTTGGACAGGCAAATTCAAGAAAACTATGAAGAAGACCTGAGTGAAAAGGAGAAAGCAATTGTTCGTGAAATGTGCAATGTAATGAACCCATTTTCACAGTCTTTCCCATTTCAGTTTTTCACTTCCAACTGTGGTGTTAAATGCTGTCCAATATCTTGTTCTGTGTGTGCAGGCTTAGTCGCTTGTTGTCTTTGCAACCTGCAGAGAAATTTGGTTACAAATACTGTCAGTCAAAACGTTCACACACTCAGAATGCTTGTGGGTGTAAGGTTGCAGAGGCTTACTGCAGTTTTACAGAAATGTGACCATCATGGCTCCTTCCATCCTCCCAGTCATGGTCATTATAGTTCAACATGGCGATGAGAATCACCTATTGAAGATCTTTCCCCCTATCTTATCCCAAAACCACAGTTCTTAAGTCTTCCTGTGAATGGGAATTGTTATTAAATCAGTTAAATCTACAATCCTATATACGGTTTCATGAGAGTTGTAACATCTGAAGGGCACCAGGTTGGGGCTGACTTAGACGCTCACGTATATATGGATATATGGACTGGTGTATTTTGTGTGTTAAGTTATGGTTGGTGTTTGGCTTCCTTCACTGAAAAATGTGGGTGGGGGAAATTCCATTCATGAATCAGGATTCCCATAGCCAGAATGGTTCAGGCCTATGTATCTTATTGGACTATAATTCAGAGAGTATCTTAGTAATCCAGAGAGTGTCTTAGTACTCTAGAGCAGCCTTTCCTAACCTTGGGTTCCCTGATGTTATTGGGAGTCTCAAAGAAAGACGTGCTCTCCCAAGCCCATATTCCCAGCATGCTGACACTCCTGTCTCCAGTGCCTGGAGGCAGACAGGTTGTGCTTCCATAGCAGTGCCCAGAGGAGGAATGGGCACTGGGAGGAGCACAGAGAGAAGAAACGCCGTGGTGCATCTGCAGCAAACAAACCGGATGCCTTCATCTGCCCCAGCTGCAATGAAACATGTCTCTCCCGTATCCGTCTCTACAGCTGCAGTGGGCCTGCAACTCTTTGACTTCACCCTCAAGAGATGTACTTTCTCCATTGTTCCTGAGACAGTTGGGTGTCAACAACCACTCCCATTATTTCTGACGCTGCCCCCTGCCTGGTTATGGATGATGGGCGTTGTAGTCCAAATAGGCTATGGGGACCCAAGGTTGGGAAAGGCTACTCTTGAAGGTTGTGCATAACAAAGTCAAAAAACTGTGGTCATCTTTTACTTCCCCTTCTTTCTCTTTTGCAAGTGAAAAGCCTCCCTGGATCTTCAATTTCAGACTGCCCCAGTGCATGTTTAGATGATAGATAGATAGATAGATAGATAGATAGATAGATAGATAGATAGATAGATAGATAGATAGATGATAGATGATAGATGATAGATGATAGATAGATAGATGATAGATAGATAGATGATAGATAGATGATAGATAGATGATAGATAGATGATAGAGATAGATTAGATGAGATAGATAGATAAGATAGATAGAGATAGATAGATAGATAGATAGATAGATAGATAGATGAAGATAGATAGATAGATAGATAGATAGATAGATAGATAGATAGATAGATATAGATAGATGATAGATATAGATAGATAGATAGAGATAGATGATAGATAGATAGATAGTAATAGATAGATAGATAGATAGATAGAATAGATAGATGATTAGATAGATAGATTGATAGATAGATAGATAGATATGATAGATAGATAGATAGAGATAGATAGATAGATAGATATTCTTGGGAACCTCAACTGGGGCTTATCTTTAGTTAATTGTGTATAGGACTGCAGCCCTGCAGCCCAGTCCTGTGCCAGTGATCTCTCGATAAGAGTGGGTAGGATTTAACCTCCGCCTTGAAATTCTCTGGTTCGCATCCACTTGTTTTGACTATTTCAGATCTCTTCCCCTAAAAACCAAACATAAACAAAACTTTGGAGCATTACACCGCTCGTGGGGCCACCTAGGGTAACAGTTATGGTTGAAAGCTCATACTCCCCAGTGGGATCTGGTCCAATCTAGAAGCTTTCAGTAGATGGAAACCGCTAATCTTTGTATGATGTGAACACCCTGGGCTTGTGGGTTGCCACATGGCACGAAGCCATAAGCACCAATGACAAAAGAAGCCCTGTTTCTTTAAGCGCACTCTGTTGCACGGGAAAGGCATCGTGGTTTTTCCCACACACAAAGAGGGGGAAAACGTTCCAGGATACGTCCCTGGAAAACCGCTGTGAACCTTAGACCTGGGTGGTTTCCCACAAACCATCTTGCCGTTGCAAGTGCCATCAACTAATCCCCCCTCTGGGATGTGAAGCACTGCGGAATGTGCTCTGTTGTTCGACAATGAAATCTGTAATCTGCCTTTAGAAAAAGCTCGCTTTTGGTGCAGGGATGTGAGGACTGCACCTCAAGAGGCTACCCCTTTTAGCTTCTCTTTTTAAAACAAAATAATGATGTTTGCACAGCCTGAGATATTTCGACAAACGAGGAAATCTTCTCAGGAATGCTGCCGACACTTCCTGGTCTTTTGAAATGGACTCCCCAAACAGACCTTGCCAAACAGACCTGGCCTAAGAGACTGGTTTGGCTGGCGAGCTTTCTGGAGACCAGAGATTTTTAAAGGGCTCAGTAATCTGAGCCCTGAACTGGTACAGCCCTTCGTAATGCAGTCCTCGCTTTCGCTCAGTTGCTTCAGAAAAGGAAGGTGTCTTAAGGAAATTGTCCAAGACGTGTAATTTTTCTGGGGCAGAGCTATGGCTCTTGCCTGGGAGCAGGGGTGGCTAATAATAATAATAATAATAATAATAATAATAATAATTTGTTATTTGTATACCACCCATCTGACTTGGTTGCCCCAGCCGCTCCGGGTGGCTTCCCACAAATTGTGAAACCACAGTAAAACATCATACATTAAGAATGGATAGGAGCTCTAGTCGAAAACAGCTGGAGGGCGCTCAGTTGGCGATGGCTGCTCTAAGCATTTTTGGATTTCAAATGCAAGGCAACTTTGTGTCTGAAGGGCACACAACTTGCTCCACTTTGGAAGCAATGCTTGATGAGGGGAACATGACTCTTGCAAGCTTGCCAGCAACTGACCTAGCTCTGAACTCGACTTCTGAGCCTAATTTGCTGGTTTGATACCATTACCTAAGGCATCTCTCCCTCTCTAGTTCTAATTTCGGGAGACTTTAACAAGATCAGCATTTTAAACCTGTCAGCCAATGTTATCTCGGGATCTGGGTGCCACCTAGTGAATCAGAGAGGAATCTCGCAAACCCAGCTGGGGCCAGGAATTCCTCGGAACTGCAAGCTTAGCATCCGTAGGGCCATTTACAGCCTTTACCTTTATCGTATTTTAGGACAATGAAGTCTTAAAACTGTTGTAGGCCGCCCTGAGTAGCACATATAGGCACTAGAAGGGTGGGATAGAAAACTCTGTACAAATGCAGATAAAATAAATGGTAACAAGCACCCTCTCTTTCCTTTTGCTCTTAGGTCGTCTGGCGGAAACTGGGGGATGCAGCAAGCTCCAAACCGTCCATCAGGCAACATCTTTCCGGAAACCAGTTCAAAGGCCCGTTATAAGCACCTCATGCAGCAAGGCTGGGAGAGGAAAGAGGAAGAGCAACAGGGACTGCTCTGCATCTAGCTGCCAGGGTTATCTTTTCCTACTCGCTCCCATCTTTCTGTAACTGTTTATAGTGTAAATAAGGCAGCTTGGAAGGCTTGGCCTGCAGGCTGTGCTGATCCAGAACAATGTTAAATGGGTTAATAACTATCCTCCAATGGCCGATTTGTGTCATTTGTATTGTAGTGACAACCTGCTTTGTTGTATGGTCATATGTAGAGATACCTGAACCCAAAAGCAAGGGACCTTCCTCGCCTCTACAGTTTCCAGTCCGTTGCCATTTTGCGATCGCAAATTTGGGTTGCGCCCCGGGGAGTTGATTGGGAGGTCTTGCACAACACAACTGCTTCGTTCCTCCGCCTCCCCCCCAAAAAGATTAGGCTGTTTGCCATAAGGAAAGTGATGGAGAAATGCATGGGAAAGTGCACTTTTTTTGGTGCAACACCACCCTGCCAACAAATCAGGACAAATGCGCAATAAAACAGGTCGTCCAAAAGCACCCGCCCTTTCTTCCTTTGCCCTGTTCACGGAGCTACAACCCCAGCTGCGTTGTTTTAGAAACTAACATGGAATCCACAACACCAGAAGTAGCTCTGTGATATCTCTGTAGCCTTATTATTTTGGCAATTACCTGTTGAGAGTGATAAGCTTTGCTAGAGATCTTTGGTTGGTATTAAAATGCGCGTTTTGAGAAGCAATGCCCGGCCTGCACAGCTGAAGATATTGTGACTGCCTTCATGTTTCTAGGTCACATGCCCCACCCCAGGCTGAAGTTCCCAAATCCCGCAAGTCATGGGGGCTGCTTTAGATCAGGAATGGGCAGAAGGTAGGGTCTGCTGGGGTCTGATCTCTGGCTGATTTGCAGGGGCTTTTGACTGCCCATTGTTACAACAGTAGCAACAACACCTTACTTAGGCTGCCTGACATGAAGAAAGCTTTCGAATGGGTTTCTTCTGTAAGTTCCTTTCAGTTCTGGTGCTGAGAACAGATTCCTAGGCTCAGAACATGCTTGGTGGCATCACGTTCTTATATTCTAACTGTTATCTGTTTTGCATCAGATAGATATTGCGGTTCTTGCAGAAAGCAAGGGAGCCCCGATAAGCCTGATGTCTGCCCATCTCTCTTGCATAGCGGCTTCCGGGCGAGGCATTCATGCGAAGGAGACCCCGCTTGCATAATCTTACATTTTTTCATTTTGCTGCAGCAGAAATGCTGCAGCTTCTAAGCAATAATAGCAGGCACTTAATGCAACGTTGACATACGGCGAATGGTAGGCTAGAGTAGATCAAGTGCTCAGGAGGACCAAGCTCAGGTCTGGTGTCAAGGGTCGGAATCATTGACCAATTTGCCGAGGCCCACACCCTGGCCAAGGTCCCACTGCCAATTCTTGGGGTCTTGTGGCCTTCTCGCTGCCTGTTCCCCAGCGGTTTCTGAGTGAGCGAGGAGGAAAGGACCCTAACATTTACACCATGGGTAGGCAAACTAAGGCCCAAACGCCTTCTAAATCCAGCCCGCGGACAGTCTGGGAACCAGCGTGTTTTTACATGAGTAGAATGTGTGCTTTTATTTAAAATGCATCTCTGGGTTATGTGTGGGGCATAGGAATTTGTTCTTCCCCCCTCGCCTTCAAATATAGCCTGGCCCCCCACAAGGTCTGAGGCACAGTGGACCGGCCCCCTGCTGAAAAAGTTTGCTGACCCCTGATTTACACGCCTTTTTCTCTCTGTGTGCAGTGGTGCTGATTTGCATCCAAAGGGAGAGGAAGGCAAATGGGCAAGAGTGGAGGGAAGACAGAGGAGGCGAGCCCGCTTAGAGATGGAGCCCCACTAACAGCATTTTACCCAAGGGCCCTGGCATTAAGCAGGCTCCTAATGGTTGCATGGAAGAGACTCGTTCAGTAAGTGGCGCCCCCTGCCTGAAACCCCGCAAACCACTGCTAAGCCTTGGAGAAAGTACTGAACTAGATTCCTCAGTGTAAGGGCAGCATCCCATTCCCACCTGCCTAAACTCCCTCTTTCATGCAACTCTGCATCCGACAGCGAAAGGTACAGTTGCCTTGCCTACCTTTGCATTACCCTCCAGCGGTCGTGCTTCTGTCTCTGTTGTTGCTTTTGCTTATTCAGACGTTAGCTCCATGCCAGAAAGAAAACAAAAAAGATTATCTTTCATTTTTTAAAATATTTATTTCAGCCTTGGCATGACATTGCAAAGAGTGGCTTTCTTTCTTTCTTTCTTTCTTTCTTTCTTTCTTTCTTTCTTTCTTTCTTTCTTTCTTTCTTCTCACTGAAATAATGCGCAGAATGGTGTTATCTAAAAATGTAAGCGGAGGAGCAGCCGTTTGTGTCGCACAAAGAAAACGCTGTCTTTCAGAAGTGCTGCCTCCGCGGTTCAGCCACTCGCCCGCATCAAGTGTCTCTTTGAACTGCTGCGTATAAGGTGGAGGGGTATTCTATTATGACAATGCAGCTCTTTTGTAACCTGCCAAAGACTTTGATCGCTTTCTCCCTGTTTCATCGCATTTCTTGGTACATCTCCTCAAATTGTATAGCGCAGGCAGAGCCGGCAGAGTGAGCTTCACACATTGCTAGAATACAACGCCCATCACCCTGAACACTCATTGGCTAAGGCTGTTGCGAGTTGTAGTCCCAATGGCACGATGTTGGCTCTCCCCAAGAAAGCATAACAACTCACTAGCCGGCTATGAAATCCCACTTGTGCAAAATAACCAACAGAAAGGGAGATTTGGGGGGCTAATGCTCACTCTTCAGATATTTGCGTTTTTCCATTACCCTGAAGTTGCCAAACCTTCAGCCGTTGCAGTCTGGTCTCAGAAAGAATTTTGGCTATTGTGCTGCTAGATCTTTCCGTTTTTTAGGCCTGTTTCTCTTGGATGCCACTATTCAGGGTTTGTTCTTATTGAGGACCTACATAGATCTGCAAGCAATAGATAAACCGAAAAGATTTGAGTCAAAGTCTTCCCAGTATACCTCTCCATTTGCATTTCCACTTGAATATGTTCCAGCGTTTCTTGGCTTTGCAAATCCTTCCCATACCCAGGTACTGGGCCTATTTGGATGTGGTTTATGACCTGGGGCGTCCAGACAGTTGCTGGGATCCAGTTGCAAACCAGCAAATTCAGGTCGTGCAAAATGGTGAGGTCTTGTGCGTCAAACAAACTCACTTCCTCAAAAGATTGCAGTAAGGAATATGATGGGGACATGCTCTGGACAGTGTGGGAAAACACTCGTTTTGAAGCATCATTATCTAACCTCCCCGGAAACAAATCAGAATAAATGCCAGTGTTGACAAGTCGGGGTGAATGAATACTCAATAAACAGGTCACCTAGCAGCACCCCTGGGAATTATCCGAAGGAGAGATCAGGTGGGGCCTTGGGCTCACAACACAGCCTCCCTCCTTCCTTGCTCTTCTCACCACAGACAGATATAACAGTGATAATCTCCCTGTTGTTCTCCCCCCCCCCCCCTTTTATTTTCTTATTCAAGTGAGAGGAATGAGGATTGGAACCCAAGGCTTTTTTCCAGGCACTCTCTCCCAAAAAGCCCTTAACCTACTCAGGTGAACATTCACTTAATGAAAACTGTAATACCAGAAATATTTATGCCCATGTCCCCTCTCCATACCTGTAAAATCCAACTCATCCATTTAAATACGCTCAAACTGACCCAAACCATTTTCAGGTCAGTTGTAGTTCAGCCTTTCAGAACCCATTTCTCATGTGAGCCAAAGTCCAAGAGAGCAAATTGGCCCCCCTGTTGGGAATGAAACCACTGACAGCTTAAGAGGACATTTTGCCTGTTGTGTTCTTAAAAAATGCACCTACATTCTTTTTAAGTGAAAATGGTGACTGCGAGAAGCTCAGGTGTGCAAGCATGTATGGACAGTACAGGTGGAGCAGTTAGGGAATCTGGATTGCTTAGAATGGACAGGAGGCTCAGGGATGGCCCAGGTCAGCTGAGATCCCGAGCTGAGATCTGACAGTTGAGATCCCCCGCATGTACACAGAAAATGGCTGAGAGTTAGAAGTGATAAGGCACTTCAGGCACTGTCACTGTTAGAAGTGACAGTGTAAGCCATTTGACAGTGGGGCAGACTACTTTGGAGGGTGATGGTTTTTGAGGTTTTTGAGCAGAGGCTGGTTGGTCTACCTGTCAGTGATTGCTGTAGTGGCCGATTTCCTGTGTCTGCAGGAAGTTGAACCAGGTGCCTCTGAAAAACCATCGTCTATGCTGAAATAACCGTTGTTTCTCTCCAACCTTAGTCCTCTTCTACAATATTCCATATTAATTTATACAATAGTAGATTTGCAAGTCTTCTGTTTTTATTGAGTTGGTATTATTGCCCACTGATCCCTCTCCTCTCCTTTCCACTCTTATGAATCCCAACAAGAAGGTAGCAAAGGAGATGATCTGTTCTGCAAGCCACAAGTAACAGTTTATGTTTTTTTCTGTGTTGGGGGGTGGGGGAGAGATTTATGTAGCCCTGCTTTGATCCACCTATTTGCTGAACAGATCAAATGGTGCCCAGTCTCTGGAGTAACAAGAAGTTTTCTAAAGTATTAAGCAGCAGAATTTACGGGCTGTGATATTTATTCCATCATGGGACCTACGCTACTGATAGATTTAGGCAGTTGTTCATACAGAAGTGTGCCCTGCTCAAGAGAAATGTGAAACTAGTCAGTAAGCATTTAATGATCTCACTCCTCACAGAACCAAAATAAAAAAAATCCTTCCAGTAGCACCTTAGAGACCAACTAAGTTTGTTATTGGTATGAGCTTTCGTGTGCAATGCAGGAATCTCAGCTAAAGCATCCATGACAGATGGCCATCCAACTTCTGATTAAAAACCCGCAAGGAAGGAGAGTCCACCACCTCCCGAGGGAGACCATTCCACTGTCAGAATAGCTCTTACTGTCAGAAAGTTCTTCCTGATGTTCAGTCAGAATCTCCTTTCTTGTAACTTGATGCCGTTGGTTTGAGTCCTACCCTCAAAGCTTGCTCCATCCACCATGTGACAGCCCTTAAGATATTTGAAGATGGTTATCATATCTCCTCTCAGTCTCCTCTTTTCCAGGCTAAACATACCCAGCTCCTTCAAGCGTTCTGCATAAGGTTTAGTTTCCATACCCTTGATCATCTTGGTTGCCCTCCTCTTGCACATGTTCCCACGTGTAACATCCTTCTTAAATTGTGGTGCCCAGAACTGGACACAGGATTCCAAGTGTGGTCTGACCAAGGCAGAATAGAGTGGTACTATTACTTCCCTTGATCCGGACATTATACTTCTGTTGATGCAGCTTAGAATAGCATTAGCCTTTTTTGCTTCTGCTGCATCACACTGTTGACTCATGTTCAGCTTGTGGTCCACCAGGACCTCTAGATCCTTTTCACATGTACTGCTAGAAAGCCAGGTGTCGCCCATCTTATATTTGTGCTTCTGGTTCTTCCAGTGTGGTGTAGTGGTTAAGAGCGGTAGACTCGTAATCTGGGGAACCGGGTTCACATCTCCATTCCTCCACATGCAGCTGCTGGGTGACCTTGGGCCAGTCACACTTCTCTGAAGTCTCTCAGCCCCACTCACCTCACAGAGTGTTTGTTGTGGGGGAGGAAGGGAAAGGAGATTGTTAGCCACTTTGAGACTCCTTCGGATAGTGATAAAGCGGGATATCAAATCCAAACTCCTCTTCTTCTTCCTACCTAA